TTTTTTTGTTCTAATATTTTCTAGAATAGAATAGGAACATCCTGAATTTGTGAATTCTTGGGCATTTTAAAAGACCCACTTGATAGTTTCAGTGGCATGTCAAGAACAAACTAGATGAGATAAATTAAAGTTATTGTTAGTGGTTTCATTAAATCAAAATGTGCAAAAAGCGTAAATATATGACAAGCAACAACTATTTAATAAGAATTGAAGATGAGACAGACATACAAACAAAGCTGCTCTTATTATTAAGTTTATGATAATGTTTCTAGCCACACATTTCAAATAGGTTTGCACAGTCACTGGGTGCTATTTGGACCATTAATGACTGACTATAACTATCAGTAATGTTTTGTCTGGGTGCAAGTATTCAAACATCATATAAAGTGATAAAGTAGCTTCAGGCCTGTTGTAACCTGCAGCCCTTCAGCTGCATCAAAGCTTTTACCTTGACTGCTTCCTGTCTAATTGGTGTCAACCCATAAATTGGCTTTGTAGTAGGAGGATGGCAGCTGCTGCCACGTACTAAACTTTTAACTCCTGTTATTGGTATTATTACGACAATCTGTAGAAACTCCTACATTTAATGTAATGCAGAGGGAATCTTGTGTCAGAGGTTTGTAGATACTGAGAAAAATGTCATCTTGGGTGAAAAAGTGGCAACACAAATTGTCACAAAGATTCGGCTCTTATCGATTTACAGGACAGTTGTCATGATTAGTGTGATTATTATCACATTTTAGGTGGATAAATACATTTAAATAGATTAACTTACTCACAATGTCCAGTTACTCAAGATCGCCTGTGATAAAATTTTACAAGTTTTAGTTATGGATTTGCCCTTACAATAAATATTTTATATCCTAGTAATGTTGAATTGGGTGTTGTAGTTGTATAGTTAATTTCTAAGTGAAAGAATATTAAGTACGCTGTTTGGAGAAGGGGGGTTGTTCTAACACCCCACCCATGTGCCCGACTTTCAGTGTTTGTGTTAGGAATAAGCTGCTGTAACTTATAACAGCCTTTTGACATGCTTAGTTTCTATGATCCCACCATTAACTTGCAGGAAAAGGCTATTAAACTTGCCTATAAGTCCACATGCTCTGCATTTTTAAAAGCAAAAATCTGTGGCCACTGTTCCAACTGGCAGCCACACACAAGGGGGTTGTTTATCTTTTTTTTCTCCCCCTTCCCTGCAATCGCTCCTGATCACTGAATGGCGGCTTTTTATTGAGGCTCTTTCTGCCACCATGCAACTCCACCCACAGCTTAATAAAATTCCATGTTAATCAAATAACCTCTTGTCTTTGACTGGCCTGGAGTCCTCTGCAAGTCCCAAAGCCRTACTCCATATCTGAAGAGAGTTGAGAACAGGCAGGCAGCTCTGAGGTAGCTGGGTGTGGGCACTGCTTTCTTGCCATAAACCAAAATTATGTGGACTGAAGGGTAAAGACTCACGTTTCCGAGGGCTGTGAATCAAGACGTTTAACTCATAAAGCTTCCAGCATTCTTGGCTTTGACTAATGGATTTCATCAGAAGGCACAATTCAGCCCTTTAATGGCAACCTTTTTATTTCCTGCCATAGTATTTTGTTTGAAGTGTAGCACTTAGAGTTTAACTTTTTCCCAAGAGGCTTGGTCTGTGTTGTGTAAAGAAGATATTTAAACTGTACAGTATCAATTTTCTGGGCTTTAACACATTTTTTATATAATTTTTTAAAAAAACTTTATCCTCAATTTACTTCTGGAGAAAATTTTAATTTGAGTAGCTTTCTACTCTTGTTCTGCATCATTTGACTATTATTGACTTTAGTTTTACCCACTTTATATAGCAGAAGTATTTTATTTTGACTCCCTCACTAAGTAAAACCTACACAAAAACATGTTATTGCAAGTGCAAAATAGCACTTATTTTACATGCATTTTTAGTCCCACTCATACATAAGACCCCACATAGAAGATGGTGTATTTGCAGTAGAAAAGTAAGCATACAAAGCTGTGTTGAGAAGTGTAAGATAAGATGTAAAACTAGAACAGTATATTCTATTCAACTAAAACAAAACAAAGCTCGACTGCAGCATAAGAACCTTTTAATGCAAAATCAATCCTGCTGAAAGGCACAAGGCATTTACAATCCATTCTTTGATAAAAACCAACAAATCATCACTTAATGTAAACAAAATCAACAAATACGTATACAGTTTTTTGTAAAAATATGCAGCTAGTTATGACTAAAAATCATTGATTATTACTATTTTAATAACAACGTATTTATGTGTAGACATACAAGCAGAAAAGTATTCTTCTCAGATCCTGTTGCTGCCTAAGCATTTATTTATTTATTTTTCCCACCGAAGCATACACGAATTAGTCTAGTTTTAACAATGCTTTGCAGTAGTTATAACGAAATATTGTAGCCATTCTTTTGCAGAAACAGAGGAAGAAGACCTTGCTCTATGGCATCACGTAATGAGGAATATATGGGTGTGCTCCAAATATAGATGCAGCTGATTGTACCAAGTGGAATTTCCAGTATCTTAACAACCTGACAGCTTACAAGGACATACATATAAGTGAGATGGGACACATACACACAAAGGTATTCAGGTTAACAGTAAACATGCCTCATATGATTTCCCTTTTTCCCCTGGAAGGAACATGGGTGTTAAACAAATTGTGCTGTATTTTTTTTCTATTTTTATTGTCTAAATAAACAATTTGGTTGATCAAAACACATATACCAGTAGATCAGACTTGAATTTGTAAAACATGCAGACATTATAATCAGCATTTGATCTGCTTCTATTGTCAGAAAGGTTTAGAGTTGTCAGTTGTAAACTGCTCCTCTCAGCCATTCAGTTATGGGAACAACAATTGGCTGAGCTATTTGTAGCTCTGCATGACCTCAGCTGAGTGATTACGTTCAGGAATGCATACTAAAATGATCTAGTCATAAGTAAGCTGGGGTATTTATTCCTTTTTCGTTTCCTCTTGAATGGTATTTTATTGTTTTTATCTGTTTTAAGAGGGCTCCTGACCCATGCTTTGGTTGATGAGTATTGGGTTGTTAGTAATTTGTGTGGGTGAGGCAAAAAAATGTTTGACTGCAAGAGTGAAGAGAGTTTTACTATAACTGCTGTCAAAATCGACAAAATTTTCAATGTTTTTAGTTGATTTTTTTTGTTTATGTATCATCTATGATAAAATAGCCACAAGAGACACATCAGTTACTACATATAATTTGTAACAATTCAAAGTTTCATTTTGTTAACAATTAGGAGTCACTTGTTTATACTGAGTGGTTGAGAGCATTAAAGCAAACGTTGGGGCTAATGCTGCATTCCAATTGTACTTGGAGTTCGCAGTTTAGGATTTCTGAGACGGAAAAATCAACTATCGTAATTTTGATTCGGGTACTTGGTGCAACACGACCATACCGGAGCACGATTGACGTCATCATTTCAACATCTGCTCCTCGCATCAGCAGAGAGGGAAGCTATTACTTTCATGTTTGTTAATCTGTTTACGTTAAGTCAGCTGTACTTGTAGTACTTTAGGGGTGTAAGAAAATATCGATACACTGAAATATCGTGATATTTCATTTCTCGATACTGTATCAATATTCTAAAACCCTGTATCGATTTTTTATTAAGGTTTAAAATGTCAACTTTCCTGCCAGCCATTCATTTTTATGTTGTAGTTCAACCTCTGACCACTAGTTGGCAGCAGTGAGCCAGCCATTTGGCTCCTCCACAGCTTGAGCGCCAGAGAGTAAGAGAGCATTAGCATTGTAAGTAAATATTAGCTTCATGCTCCGATAGCTGAATCTGAGCAGAAAAGACTGACACCCTCTGCCTTCTAAGCTGAGGTAAGGTTACAAACAAGTTACTTATTTGTCAGAATGTCTGTATTTAAGCCAAATTGTTTTGTGCGCTCTTTTTTTCCAACTGTAGTCAGCTTTAACGTTACGCATATAGTGCATGCGTCTATCACCT